AAAAAAAAAAAAAAAAAAAAAAAATCGACTTGCATAGAAATCGGCCCAATTTCAAATTGATAATTAAAATTTTAAAATCTCATATCATTTGGCTACTACTTTCTTTAGTTCAATTTTTTCTTTTTTTTTTTTTTTGGTTATAAAATAGAGTTAGATAATATTAATTTGAACTTCAAAATGAAATCGGATTGGAACACCTAAAAATTTGGGTTTTGTTTAATCCTATAGAATATAAATTAGAAATTGATTGCATACACGTACACAATTCTTTCCTTCCTTACATTAAAACAGCTATTTAAAAAAGCTGTTTTACCAAACAACAAATTTGGCGGTTTGAGATGGTCAAACAGCTGATATTGATTCAAACAGCTAAAAGCTATCCAAAAAGCCATTTACCAAACATGGCCTAAATAATTTACAATTTTAAAATACTAAGACTACAAATTATCAAAAAAGACGTGTTACAATCTCCGATATATTTGGCTATGCAATCTTCACCAAACCACTATAAATCATATCATATATATCCTGCTAAATAATTTAATTGATTGATTTAAGCCTGTTTAGAATCCTAATATATATAGGTGTCAAGTGTTTATTTTATTAGATACAATTTACACAGATGTACATTGTTTTATGTTTAATAATATATAAGTTGTATTTTTTTTTATTCCAATATATTTTTTTTACGTTTTTCCAATCATCCAAATATAAATGCTTACCTTAATAAAATTAGTTCGTACTATCGCACGAGTAACACACTAGTCATGACACAATGCACAATTGTTTATAGGTGATATGCACAATAACACACAACAATGCTAAAGACAATTGTTTCATTTTATTTTTTATTTTTTATTTTTTTTTTTTGTGCTAAGGAGGAGAGAATATTAAAGGTAGGGATTTATGTTACTGCCACATAGGCGTGACACGTATAGAATTCACTCCATAAGAGCATCTGTAATGTTTTAGGTCTAATTTTGTCTATGTGGAATGTAAATGAACCTAAGTCTTGGATGACATGGACAAAAATATATAAAATTAACAAAATCTACTCCAATGCAAGGAGACTAGGTCTCTACTTGGGTCTAAAATGGACTTAAGGTTAGACCGGGTTTCCTTTTCTTGCTGCCACATCAGCAAGACCTAGTTCACTTACACTTGCATTGGAGAACATATTTTGTTAGACCGAGTCTTTCCGAGGTGGCATTCAATTTTTTTTATTGAACCAAAAGCATTGTGGATGCTCTTAAAGGAGCCAACTATTGGCTTTTCAGCATTACTGATAAATAATAATACTGCAATCCATATAAGTGACGACATTATTTAAATTTAATTAATAATAATAAAAATTAAAATTATTTAAAATTTAAATAAATAATCAATTTTTTTTATTTATTTTTAAAAATAAGTATAATCATATCTATACTTATATAAAAAAAGCATTCTATTTACTAGAATTAGTAGTAAGAAAAGTCAAAGGTAATTAATGCATTCTATTTCCATCAAATATTTTATATAATTATTTTAGTTAATTGTTTTATCTCATAACACCTTTTCAATACAACTTACCATGATTTTTCTATTGTGATTAAAAACCAAATTTTACCTTTAAAATCTTGTGAAATTATTATTATTATTTTTATAAAGCACATATTATTTGTTAAAAAATTATATATATATATATAATACACATCACAGTACCATGGTAGATGATTTAACTTTTAACCGACCAAAATGCCAATGATTTAAATTTGAACACACCTTTGCGTTTGACCAAATGTCTGGATGACTTAAAATTGCCCATAAAAAATTATTTAAATTTGAACACACCAGAAATTTTATGTACTTTTTATTTATAAATATATTGAAAGTGGTATTTAATGGCTGTTATATAAACTATTTTAATATATTTGCAATGAATAAAAGTTTGAATGAATAATTTGTTATGTTATTCATAATGTTTGTGACTTATGAGACACGAACACATAACTCCATAAATATTTGTCAGAGAGCGGTTTAATAATTTTTTAGACTTCACGTTGATTAAAAGAGGTAGAAAATATATAATAACATTATTACTTTTTAGACTTAAATGGACAAAGCTGTAAAAATAACTCATTTAATATCTTTGTCCCGTGCATCGCACGGGGTACATACTAGTTAATTATAAACAAAAATGATATTAGATTCATTATTTATCAATTGAATATCTAACTAGAAACAAAATTAGTATCGTTATTATTTTGTAAGGATAGTGATTAAGTGCTTCAAGCTATAAAAGTGTTCTGCAGCATCCAACGGTGATTATTATCTATTTAAAATCCTAAGGCCAAAAATGTACAGAAGTTGATTCGTCGCACTATTAATGTACGTCCCCTGCCATTGCTGTATCTGCCATACAAAAAGCACAACTCACACAAAACGCACGCATAATCGACCACGGAGAGAAGAAAATAATCGACCGAAATGGCCGACGAGAGCAGCAAGTTCGCCGACGGCCGTAACACTTGCATAAGCATGCAGATGCACGCCGGCAGCTTGGAATGCCGCCGGTACTACATGGCTCGACGCACGCTCCTCGAAATGCTTAGAGACAGAGGCTACACGGTGGCTAACATGGAGGCGGAGCTCCACCGATCTCTGCCGGACTTCCGAGCTGAGTACGGCGACAAGCCCGAGCCTAAAAAACTCAGCCTCATTGCTGCCTCTGCTACTGACTCTTCCCGAAAGGTACGCGTCCGCGCAGTGTGTGTGTGTGTGTGTGTGTGTAATGTGCGAGATAATAGATGCTAATTGCTATGTATGTTTCGACTTTCCGTGTGGACTTATGGGGTCATTTATATCACAGAAGAATTTTGTGTGGTGGTAAATTTTCATTTGGGATTTGGGATTTGTATCACAGAAGATAATACTATGCACACTCAGGAGCATGTGATCAGGAGAATCTTCGTCTTCGACTAGTTTACTTCGATTTGCATCAGCATATACAATGGTTTTAAACTGATTGATTATTTTTTTTTTATATACATTTTGATAATATAGATACATGCCATCTTTTGCGAACCTATGGAGATCAGGAAAGCGACAATGAATTTCATCCTGGGCCAGATTCTGAACAAAGAGCAACTGGACAAAGTGATCTTGATCCTTCAAAGCAAGATGAATTCTCATGCTCTAAAGGTTGTGGAGGAGCATTCGATAACAAATGTTAAAGTTGAGACTTTCCAGGTAAGTAATCCGTGTTCGACTCGAACAAACAGTGCTTTCGTATGCTTTAAGGCATAAATCACAGCTTTAGAAGACAACCAACATTTTTGTTCTCTTTCCCCAATGTTATAAATATATTGTGATTGAATGATTTCATGTTCTATTGATTGTCTGATAGTGTATATTAGTGTCATAATATCGGTTTGAAGTCTATATAATGTTGATTTGTATAGATGATTAATACTGCATTTTTTCAGATTACTGAGTTGCTAGTCAACATCACCAAGCATGTTCTGATGCCGAAACTTGAGATTCTGAATTCTGAGGAGAAGGAAAAGCTTTTGAAGAAGCACAATATTCAGGACAAGCAGGTAAATCATTTCAAGTTTGTTTTCGGGATTTGAGTGTTAAACACAACAAGCCAGCTTTTCATACATATTGAGATTATTATATAAGATTTGGCACAGGGCTGATAATGCTATAATTTGGGTCGAAGTTTTTGAGTTTGAAGTAAGGTAATCTTGCTTTGTGGATCAACATGAAATTCAATGTATATTATATGCAGAGAGGTTCCCAAACGTGCTTTAAAGTTCACGATTAAATGAACTTCTCAAGCATATTATGATGTTCTTTTACAGTTTAGTTATTATGCTTCAACAGCATATGCTCGAATTTTCATCTATCTGTAACAGCAACAACTCTCTCGAACAAGAACATACTCAAAGATTAAGAATATCTGCCAAGCCAGAGAGAGAAAGAAATAAACAAATATCACATGATTAAAATTGTGTGATCCATAGCTAAAAGATGTATTGCTTCTAGATTTTGTTTTCTTTAAGAAAAGCTGTGGTTACAAAAATAGGAGCATGAAAATTTAAATCTCATGTATGCTTCTATCTAACTAGTCTTTTCTTTTAGTAAAATTCGACTTCTAATGAAATTTGTATCTGCTTTGCATGGGGAGTTTCTCATGAACTTGTTCTGTTCTGTCTGCTCTTCTCGCAGCTTCCTATGATGCTTGAAAATGATGCAATGGCGAGGTACTATGGGTGTGAGAAAGGACAAGTGGTGAAGGTGACTTATTCGGGTAGCACCACGGGTACTATCGTCACTTACCGATGTGTCGTACGACTTTGTGACTAAAATTGGAGAAGCATTTTGTTATGACGAAAATTTTCATTATGTAATGCAAAACTTTTTTACTCATGGAACACGGGCCATGTTCGGATTCCTGAAAATTGATCAGCTAAGGATGGATGCATTGTGTAGGAAGAAAACAATTTTTTTTTTTTTTCCATCTTTTTTTTTTTTTTCTTTTTGGTTTGTTTGATGTTATCAGTTATGAAACTAAATTTGCAGAATGTCCTTGAATGGTTTTATGATCTCATTTCTTGATGCTCAGTGAAGATTGGTGTGAAGAATTACATGACCAATACAAGATTTGTCCTTGAGTCAACCTCAAGTTTTGTTTCTATGACTCGTTAATAAAGTTAGCTTCTAGGGAGTGTAACAAAGATTATTGAATACAGATCAAATCAGTTTTATTGTTTTATTTTTTCAATCACTTCTAAAACAAAACTATATATTTTTGAAACACATTATAACTACTGAAGTTTACTATTTAATTCCAACATATATAAGTGTCTTTAAATCTTAAGGTAACCTTTCAAGGATGGTTGCATTAGTAAAAGATATGAAGAAATAGCTCAGCAAGACTGCGTGCACAAATCGGATGTGTGGGCCCTGGGCTGCTCGGTTCTTCCCATGCCGCCCCGGGTTTTCGACAAAAGGGCAGAGCCAAAGGATGTGCTGTTCAAGATTGAGTATAGTGATCATATTTCGGTGATCCCTCACAAGCACAATTATAAAGCAAAACAAGTGTACAAAGGACAAAAATCGCGTTAAATGTATCAGGATTGTAAATTTAGTTTGGTTTTGTTAATAATGCCTTTTAGTTTTGGCCGATCAGGTTCGACTCTTATGAATGCTGAATACGACTTTTATATTTGTTTATTTCTAACATTTTCAAATTTGTCATCCTTATTTCATTCTTTCAATTTTTATACACATGTATATGTTTAAGCTTCCAATACCTTCGATATGATCCACCATACAATGTAACAACTTTTGTTTCGCTAATGAAAAATGCTGAACATACTAAAGTACAAATCCAATAAAAAAACTTGAGCGTCTGTAGAAGCAACTTCCTAGTATATTTTCAAAATTAGAGAGAATTGCAAATAAGATCCCACAAGATTTATCGCGCTGCGAATTTGTTCCCAAAGTATGAAAAAAATTGGTACTTAAATCCCGATTCACGCATCAAAAAGGAGACATGCTCCACCGGTTTTTTAGCACAGTTAGAAGTGGAAATTTGTAGAGCAAATCTCAAGAATCAAGATTCCATCTATCAACACTGTAAATGAGTCAGTAAAAGGCGAGCACATTGAGCATGAGGAATACGAGAAAGCAAAAGAACACCATCGACGGTATGCATGCTCGGAAAGTCTTGAGAAGAAGCAAGATATGCAGGCAGCTACCAGTCAGGCCTTTAAGAATCTGATTCTCCTTCTTAAGCTGTTAAAGGAAGTTCACAAAACACGGGGAGGTGCGGTCAGTTCACTTTCAAAGAAACCATAATTGAAGAAAATAGCTGTTAGCAACATAACAAGGAATATCCATTAGGCCTATAGTTCGGCTGGCCTGTTACGGCTTTTTTATCTGTTATGATATAGCATAGATCGCAGTTGTTACAGAAGGCCTTTTAGGATGTCTACCAACAAAGCAAACAAACAATAGCCAAAATTTTCACATGATGTCTTGTTCGTTAATATTTTGGGGAGCATAGTACCCACTCAAATTTGTCACTTTCTGTTCCCGTCTATTTTTTTAAATATTATATATATACATATATATATTCCAGACTTAATTGACTCATGGAGATAGATAGAGGTCTCACCTCATCAACAGTTGTAATAAGCTCTTCTACAGCTTTCTGGAGTGATGAAATTACAGATGTGGCACCTGCATAAGCTGATTCCACTTCTCCAGACAAGCTAGAGTTGGAGGAACTGCCTTCTAGTAACTCGACAACTAGATGAAAATCATCAGCCTTCATCCTTTGCCTCAACTAGATAATTAAATAAGGAAAATGCAATTTAGATACAGTTGTAAATAACAAAGCCCTTCTAAAGGGTTCATACTTATATTCAACCTTTTCCAACATATTGTCACGCGACGCATTTTGGGTCAAAGATGTGGTCTCAGGACTGACAGTGTCTTCGTATTCTTTAGGATTGGCTCGTGGTGATGCCTTTATGTGCCTCGATCTGCTCAAGGTATGGAAAGAAAATAATAAGAATGCTGTATATGGACATTGTGAAATACGGAGCAGAAACATGTCCGGAAACAAGCTGCAATTATCAGTTATTCTCCATAAGCATATACGTATATATCCAGTCACTGATGCAGACTACTAGGAAAGATTCAAATGGCCACCTGGCTACAAATTCTAAAGAAACATTTCTCGTCTCGATGGTTCAGCTCCTTAACGACTTTTGAAGTTAAAAAAAAAATATATATTCTTGAAAACCGAATGCAGTAGGCATATATTTGAATACCTAGCACCAAATCTGAGAGTTGACAGGCTTTCTGAGGCATTTGAGGGACTAGGCGAGCAGCAACAAAGAAGTGCGGTGTTGGAGTTACCTCCCTGTGAATTGCTTCGTAAGTTCATAACATGGTAAAAATTAATGACTTAAGCTGTGGGAACTAACAAGAGCATCCTGCAGGATCCGAGTAAGTTTTGAATCACGATATGGTATGTGAGTCGTCTTCCCTGTCGAACTTAAGGCATTTATCACGTTCCCTAGAGCCGACAGGGATTTGTTGATAGTTTTAGCTTCCTCAAGGACCCTGCCTTCGGCTCCAGTTCTCTCTGCTTTCTCGGACCCCGCTAAGTCTACAAGGATCAGCTTTCCAATCCTGTCGATGTTTTAGAAATATGTATGAGATTTGGCACTTTCAATTAAACAACTGAATTTGACCAGAAATGACCTTTTGTCCTTCAGTTCCTGCTGAATCAAGAATATATACATGCAGTGACTTCTGCTGCTGGACATGTTCATTTCTAATAGTGTTAAGTCTGAAAACTGACTCGCAAAATTTATAATAACGAAATTAAAAGCAGAAGTGAAAAACTTGCTCTCCCAGGAAAATGAATGTAAGAATCAACTTTAAGAAACAAGGTAAAGGATACGGGTTTCTCCTACTGCTCTATTTGAGATTCCACTCTGCATCACAATATAAATAATGACCACATAGCAGCATTGACAAATAAATCTATGGAATGAGAGAAGCTTTTATCTTACAGAAAGACTTCGTAAGGCCTCTTCAGAATCTAAGACGGAAATCTGGAAAGTGAAAATGGGATTTTTGAGAAATATAATAAGAAAAAATAGACTGATTGCACAGAAAAATGGAGGACAGTTAATATAATAAGATAACCCAAAATTTTGACAGCACAATAAAGGTTCACGGCAGCTCTTTTAGTATTTTATACATTTTAGTGAAACAATTTCTCTACACTCAGCACTCATCAAAATTCTCCGGATTTGAATTACTAAACAAGTGTTCGTTAACTTTTTGAGATGAGTCTTCTAGATTGGAGAGTATCAGTTATGCGCCCTCAATAACTCATTGTGGTTCAATCCATTTGAAAACATTATGTTACTACCTTTTTGTAGAACATTCATGGACACACACACACACACACACACACACACATATATATATATAATATATATATATATGAACCTAAAACAAAGAGATGAAAAACCAAAAGTTCTCATCACAGACATACATTTGTTTATCATTTGCCATCATCATATCATATCATGGAAGCAGGCAAGATAATAGCTGCTAATGCTAAAAGTATATGTCAGACAACAGACTTATTATGATTCTTTTACTCGAATATACCAAAGGCTGACAGCATAAACAACTATATCTGAAATCATGCTACCATGTAACTGGTACAAGGGTATTGATTTCGAGGAAAAATACTACCTCTGTAGCTCCACTCACAAATATTCCCTGTTGTTTGCTCTCCTTGATCTGTAAATTGTCCTTTGATAGATCCAAAAGGTCCCTGAAGAACAAAAGGTACCCGCAATATGAACTCTTATTTCCCACTATAATCAATATCCAACTTCAAATGGCATGTAAGGGAATATGAGATTTTTCTCAGTGAGTCGGACCTCACTCTCTCCATATAAATTTCAACCTGTAACCATCAAAAGGTGAAAAAGTGAATACTCTATGAAATAGTACAACCTGAAAACATAAAATGCTGGGAGAAGTTACATGATAAGGATCAACACACCATTGATAGTTTGATTGTGTACTTGGTCTTATCATCTGATTGCTTAATAGCACTGAAAAGTCCATCCACCACTCTTGGCAGTAAACCTTTCTGCTTTTCATTACACTCTGTGATGCCTGGTCCCTAAGATCATAAACAGTACAGTGAGCACTGTGTGTAAATGATTTTGAAATTCATGTTACTCTTATCAGTTTATTACCTCCATACTGTAAGTTTTCCCTGCTCCTGTCTGTTTAAAGATGGAGAAAGTTTTAGACAGTGTTAAAATAGCATTATGATTCTGTAAGTAGCAAAAAGAAACAAAATGGGACACTAAACCCTCAAGCACATAAACTGCCTTGGCCAACACATATTACGAAGCTTGAACACTATACAATGAGCTATTGACTCACCTCATTGTAGTCAAGCGTTAACCGTGCAAGAAGAAGCCATTGTTTGTTCATTAAAGCAGATACGGGAAGGAAAAACAGATACGGGAAGGAAAAAATAAAAATAGCAAATAATAATAATAAATGATCGGTAATAAGACAAACTAGGTATCATCAATCAGAGAATTCTACTAAGTCAAAAAGCTAGCTCATATTGGATTCTAATCTAAGCAAACACAATAAAAAAGTGCATTTCAGACCAAGATATGAGATTTTAATTCTGAACTACTAAATAATCACTTTGATTATTTCTGGAACAATCCGTATAGTTACCAGTAAATTCACATTACAACCATTTCTCTAGGAGGCAGCACACTGAACAAGAGTTGTAAGTTGTTAACACATTTTCTATGTCATATTCATAATATCTATTAAGTTTTATGCAAAACTCCACAAGAGAATCCTAAAAGGAAGTGGCAATATCAATGATCATTCACCAGACCACCAAGAAGACTATTAAATGACCAACCATCTAAGAACTTCAATAGGTATTATCAATGCCATGTCTAACAGCAAAGCTCTAGTTCTGCACCTCCTTTTTTATTCTGATGAAGAAATACTTTTTAGTCATTCCAAGAAGACTATAATTGGTAAAAGAACTAAATATTGCAGCCGTTGGCTGTCAGGACTCTTTCTGCTGCAACTTGTTCCACTTAACCAGGTCTACCTAGACTTGCTAGAAATACACCTTTTTAAGAATTTTACTAAATAAGATCAGAATAACCAGTCACACTCTTAACAAAACTTATTCTGCATAATTGTTTTAGGATTGGAAGTCTTACATAATGCTGTTAAATCTTCCTTAGTAGGTTTGCTAACTTGATATATTACTGAAGTATTAATAATGAAGTTTCCTAGGTCAAAACAGGACATGTACCTGTCCATATGTAATAATTGCTCCATTCACTCCATTGACAACACCTGTTTCATTTAAAATTATGTCGAGTAATATTGACATGACCATTCTCAAGGAAAAGAAATAGAGAAGATACTTATTTAGAGGAATTTCGTTAATTACCTTCTACAATGGGCAAACCAATGCAGTCATATACTTGAGCTTGCTCTGATCCTTCGACGAACACCTTATCAAAGTGAAACTCAATTTCCCCTTCCTTCTCATCCTAAAACGAATCAATTCAATCATGTCAAAAATCACTCCAGACAGGTCAAAATATTCATTCAATTCATATTCAAATTCGTGCATTAAGCATACAATGAACATAATATCACGAGCATCATAAGAATTCATAAACCGAATTAAACAAAACTTCATTATCCTACGCAACTAAAAATCTACACTGTTCAGAAATAAGAAAAACACGTCTCGAATTGACAAACTATGGATTTAACAGACAGTAATAGTTGAAACCAGAAACTCAAATATATGAAATCCAACGGTACAGTTAAGCCAAAGGAAGATGACAAGCAAACATTACAGAATCAATGAGATTATTATCGTCGTGAACAAAGTCTTCAGATCAACTAACTTTCAGATGCTGAGGTTCAAGCTTGAATTCTGCATCATTCTATAAACAGAAATACGAGATCCACATGTAGATTGCGACTAATGACAATATACATGCAAAAATCCAAACAGAATCGAACCTAATCTACACTCTTATAACAGGTAATGTGCAGCGATAATCAAATCGATGACAGATGAGTTTTGTACCTTGAATATGAAAGACTCAGAGTCGATGGCGCGAACGGCAACGGTATTTCCATGATCGGACTTCTCTTTGGAGCTCAGAGGTCTGAAGAGAGCACAGACTCTTATGTTGGGCATTTTGATTATAGTGTTATTAGGTTATACCGGCGACTCGGTCTATATATATTATAGGGAGATGCTATGGTCCCGTTACGGAACCATTCCATCGGAGTTTGTAACCGTTAGATCAATTATTCCCGACGGTTACATGATGATCTAACGGTTACAAACTCGACGGAATGGTTCCGTAACAGGACCGTAGCATTTTCCTATAGTATATACTAATGGGAAATGCTAATGTTCCATTACAGAATAATTCCATCTGAATTTCGTCAAATATAGTTGATTTAACGGTTACAAATCTCGACGGAATGGTTCCGATCGAGACTTCGTATACTAATGTTGAAGGGGATTAGTTTTGATTACGGGAGATTACTTCCTTTTAAATTCCGTTTTTGTCCTTCCGCCTCAATTTATATTGCCTTCTAATTTTATCACCATGCTCTCGTTTTTCACTCGTTTCGCAATAACAATAGAAAATAAAACACACGCAATAAAATAGTCTATATCAACTTACTAGTGCAACACCGCGTGTGTTACACGAATGCATGTCAAAAAAAGATAAATTATTCTTAAATATTAAAATTAATGAGGAAAAGTATTTTTAAAATTTAAATAGTTTATACAAAAAAATAAATACTATTATATATTTTTAAATGTCATTTGTTACTTGCGCCCCACATGTGTTTTATTATAATAATTTATCTGGATATACCAATTTAATATAAATATATTAATTGATAAATAATTTTATTTTTATAATTAATAATAGTAAGTAATTTAATAATTATAATAATAATAAATATATTTATTTATTTTATACATACAATATGAATGTAAAATCAAAATCCATCAAGATATGATTAATTTGATATATTATATGTGTAAAACTGATAAAAAAAAGTACAAAAGCTATTAACTTTAAAATTTTACAATTCAATAGTTATAATATAAATATACAATTAATACATCTAAAATGACCATAAATAATCAACATATTATGAATAATTCGAACCTAGTTATTTTTTGGATTGGAAGTAAATTAAACTATATCCAAGCCAATAATGAAGCATGGAATTTCTTCATATATGATCACGAACTATGCGAGTCTGCTACTTAAGCTTAACACATTCGAGAATTATATATAAGTATATAATCAAAAATTCACTCAGTCCACGTTCTATTATTTAATGAATCTTTAAAAATGTAATTGTACGGAAGCATCGACAAATACATACCGCGACATCATCATCATCATCATCATCATCATCATCATCATCATCATCATCATCATCATCATCATCATCATCATCATCATCATCATCATCATCATCATCATCATCATCGTAATTTTTTAAGGTTGACCGCCAGCTATTATGGATTTGTATTCAACAATCGATTAAATCAGGGGTTAGTGGATAATTAAATGGATTGTAAGTGCAAAGTAAGGGAAAATGGAAATAAAAGAAATGAAGGAATAAGTGCAGAAAAATATATAACGGTGAATTATATTAATTTGAAGAAAAAATTGTTTTTTATATATAACAAAATAGAGATTAAAAAAAAATTATATTGGCAAAGATTAATTCAACAACTTGGTTTCGCCTGATTAATTGGAATAAAAATTTCTACCTAACCTGTTACGATTTTCTATAAATATTTTTAGATAAAAATTGAATATTTGTGAAAAAAAAAATTAATATTGTAGTTAGAACTTAAAATATGTTGTAATATTATTTTCCTTGACCAAAATATTATCAATCTTGTAATTTATTATAATGAATATCAATAGAACAATTACAAATATTAATAAAATTATTTAAGGGAACAATATTTTTATCCTATTTCATTTGATCTTATTTGAAACGTGTGTATAAACACAATTAATTCATATAATTAAAAAGTTTCCAGAAAGATATGCATTAAATGTTCCAATAACGTTTTACTACTATTTTTATTGGTTATTCTTATTATATAGCAAAGTATTTGATCGCGAGCTATCAAATTTCGCGTTTGGCTGATCTGGGCGCTATTGCCGCTATAGCGGCCGCTATAGCGGCGCTATCACCGCGCTATAGCGGCAGCTATACGCCGCAACATTGCATTGTTGTTCCCGCTATAGCGCGCAATTTTATTGCGAACAACTACAGTTATAAAAGCAAAGGCATAAAAGCAAATAAGTTCACAAGTCACAATTCACAACCAGCCTCCAGCCATAAAGTTGATTAAGTTCACAATTCTTAACAAAACAAACAGCCGTGCATGAAGGCATCTAGCACATAAGCATCCACAATTCCACATTGCCAGCCAAGGCATCTAGACCAATGATCTAGTAAGGACTGTATGGTTCAGCAGCTACATCCTCAGAACCAGAACCAGATAGCATATCAATATCATTATCATCTTCTCCATCAGAAGATGGAGATGACTCCTCATGCTCAAATGTAGGGATCGGCCGCTTTCTCTTCTTGCTCTTTACGGTTCTCTTAGTTCTTTCTACTGCTTGAGGTGCAGCTGCAACTCCTTGTGATAATCCTCTAGTTTTTTCTTCCTGCTCTAAATCTCCTTCTGTTGGCTCAATGCCAGTGATCCACTCGTTATATTCATCTTCTAAAGCATCATAGACAGGTTTCACAATGGAATCTCTATCCTTGTTTTCCTTCTTTTTCATTAGTTTTGAGTTGAACTTGACAAAAACAAGATCCCTCATTCTGTCATGAAGGAGCCTGCTGCGTCTCTTTGTGTGGACCTGCATAGGTTTGATCAAATAATTGATTTCATTATTTTTTATATAAACTCCAGCATATAAATTACAAATTACAATTAGTAAGCTTAAGTGACAAATTCATACTTGTTCATATGAACTCCAGCATCTTTCACAAGCTGATGAATTGCATGTCAAACTTAGAATTCTAGCAGCTACTTTCTGAGGTTTGGTGCACTAGTTCCATGATTCAGCCACCATTTAGCTAAATTACAAAAAAAAAAAAAAAAAAAAAAAAAAAAAAAAATGAAAAACAGAGGACAATGTAAGATATTATGTACCAACTCCAAGACTTGATGCACTAGCAGCTTGCTGTTCGCTAATTATTTTCGCTATCCGCAAGTGTACGGCGTAGCTATAGGTAGTGGCGAGCAAGGTTGTATTCCACAGAGATTGTAGTTAAATTAATTAAGTACTAAAATAATGACGATTAAATATTATTTAGACCAACGAATGAGATGATGATTTTAAACTATGAAGTTAAACTAAAAACTAATTTACCTAATGAAATAAAAATAAAATAAGATATAAAAGATAGATTCTAGGTTAAGTGTTCCTCGGAATTAATTCATGAAACGTTTATATTCAAACAAACATTATTTAATTTTACCAATCGTAGAGATAATCGCTAAATTGATTTCAACCTTTCTCTCGAACAAGCAAATCGTAGATATTAATTGTTATCTATCTCTTCTCGGTCTCAAGATGAACAACTAACTCCCATAAGTTCCTAGGATTTTCGTTCTCTCGCAAGGTCCTATCAACCTCTCGGTCTGTTTATTCCCTTACGTTATAAATTTCCAAATTCTAGCAATCAATTATCTCCTCTCGGTCTCAAATCGATCACAAATATGCATTCATAGCGGTCATCTACTCACACAATAAATAATAACCACAAGAAATTTATAAACGAAAGATAAACCTGAATGAAATAAATAAAAACTAAATCATAAATCAATCCGAGTACTAACAAATCCTAGAATCCAAAATAAATTAGCCTAGAAACATGCTTTCAAAATAAATATAAAACATTGAGTTCGAAAGAGGAAAAGAAAAGAAAAGAAAAAGCTTATTCGGCTCCGTCGATTCCTTCTTCCCCGGCTTTCTCCCTCGTCTTGCTCGTGTTTTTTAGCCTCCAAAACTCTCCAAAGATCTGAATATTAGGTCCCAGACTCCCCTAAAACGTGCCCAAGTGTTACTTATATAGTTGAGGTCGAGTCCTCGTCGAAATAGGTCGAAAAATCTCTAAAAATCAGAAAACGCGTATTGGTCGCACCCAGGGTCACACGACTCGTGTCACTCGTCACACGAGTCGTGTGAGAATGCCGAGAGCTCCATTCACGACCCGTCGAATGACACGACTCGTGTCTCGGTCTCACATGACCCATGTGAAATGGGAGTTCAATACAGCACGAAACTTCACTTTGGCCGCGGCTTTCGTCTCCTGGTCAACTTTCCGGCAGATGAGGCGACTCCAGGTGGTTTGACAGCGCCCAGTTTATCGGACACGGCGGGGTCCGGCCAATGTCCGGGCTGTGCGCGCAGCTTCCGACACATGGGTGCAGAAAGTATCTCCGGTGAGAATTCCGGCCGGGTTGACGTCGGGACATTGCAGCGTTCCAACTGGTCACGTGGTGGCGAGGCCTCCGTCGAGCAGCAGCTCTTTTCATGGCAGCTCACAGTACTTCAATGGTGGACGGGCTCCCATGCGTGTAGTTCGAAGATGATGAAGTTTTAAAATTACCAATCTACCCCCTTACTTAATTGATATGTTGGACTAGTTCATGGGCTAATATTTCAATAAAATAATGGCCCAGTTCTTAGTGGATATGGGTTGAAAGTGCATGAACCATCATAGCAAATAAATTGGCACGCTTCTCTATTTACTCGTCTTCGACCAATTTTTCCTATTTTCGACTCCAATAATTATTCCGACCCTATCTCCTGAAAAACTCAAATAACACACTTCATCATAGTTTAATAAAAAATAATTAATTAATAATTAATTAAATATTAAACTACAACGAAAGGGACACAAAAATCACTATAAAATGAACGTAAATATGACGCATGTCACTAGCACTACTCAACAGTTTTCTATTTTAAATTAATCATACTTGGATCAAAATTGATGTTTCTCCACTGCCTTTTAGCAATTTCTTTGCCAAAGGATCCTTCAGCATTCTGAAATAGTTGAAGCTCTTCAATAATCTTGTCTTGAGTCTCTTCATTTGGAACAAGCTTGGTAATGCAAGTGATTACACCATCTCTAAATGATTCATTCTCCTCCATAGCCAATATGCTTTGATAATAATAGAAAGGGTTCAAGTAGTAACCAGCCCTATGTAAAGGTGTCTTTAGCTTACTGTCCCACCTTTTGTCAATGATGTGAAAAACATCCTCAAACTTGCTCCTGTCATTGTTAAACCTCCTAGAGATCTCATTCTTAGCTTCTACTAGATAACCATACAAGAACCCCATGGCTGGAACATCACTATCCATTCTCCTCAACACAATAGTTAATGGCTCAAAGTAATGAACAGCAGTCTCAACTCCTTTACAGAAAGAATTTGACTACATTGTTTGCTTTCTTCCCTTTGGCACTTTTTAGGTAACTGAGTTCATTGAGCTCATTATCCCTAAAAAGCCTCTGCAATTCTTTCTTGTTTTCTAGCAAGCTCTTCAAGTTGAGATAAGCTGTTGCAAACCTTGTAACACCACACCTTACCGAATCTCTAGAAAGAAACTTCATCATTAGGTCTAAAACTCTAGTATGGGCATATAGAAAAACAGTCAAGCACTTTGCTTTTCTGATTATTGCTGCAACTCTTGGCATCTTTTCTATATCTTCCAACATTAGATCAATGGTATGGGCAGCACAGCCATTCCAAAAAATGGAGGGATGTTTTGCTTTCAACAAACTTGTTGCTGCCTCATTTGGTCTTGCATTGTCAGTTACAACTTGAACTACATTTTGCACCCCTATCTCCTCAATGCATCTATCAACCAGGTCAAAAATGTACCTGTCATCCTTCTTCACAGCTGAGCAATCCACTGAATCAAGAAAACAAACACCATATGCACTATGAACTACCAAATTCATCACACCTTTACCTCTCTTGTCTGTCCAAGAATCTGTCATAACTGTGCATCCATTTAGCTCCCAAGACTGTTGGTGATACTTCAATACCTCTTGCACTTTTCTCTTCTTTTTTTGTAAGAATTTCCCACTCATCTCATATGGAGTTGGCCCTCTCAAGTTTCTGCCAAAGTCTCCAATAGCCTCAAGCATAAGATCAAAGCTAGGCAGTGTCACTGTGTTGTGTGGGATACCTGCTTCATAAAAGAACTGACAGATATACTCACATGCTTTGTTCCTTTTTTCTTCCATTTTTTCAGTTGATAGCTTGGATTAGACCTTTTCAGCAACACCAGATTTGCCCTTCCTTGCAGCCACTACTTCTTCTGGTCTCATTTTACAGTACTTGTCCATAGGACCCCCTGAAGAAGCACCTTTGCTTGTCACCTTCTTCAACACAACAACTGAATTGCCATCAGCATCACTGTGTTCCTCTCCTTCAGAATGGCTCAAAAAACTTCAACTCTATCATCTTCTTCTCCCTATTCTTACTTTGCTTGTTATTCAACTTCTTGGACAACAACTTAATCATTTCTTCTTTCACATCAGATGGAACTTTAGTACACTTTGCAACACCACATTTAGGAACATTACCAAGGTGGTATTTGATTCTGGTTATTCCACCATGATAAATGTTTTCACAGTAGTTGCACTTCAGAGAATTTTTCTTGTTCACATCTGGCATTGTGCAGTGCTTCCAAGCTGGGTCAGATGCTTCAGCAAGAGTATCATTTAATTGTTGTAGCTGGGCGGTGGATGCAGTGCAAGATAAGCCTACAGTAGACTCAAGACACACAAACACAAAGATATGAGAACTACAAATTAGAAAGCTTCTCACTTTGTTTGGCAAGCATCTGAAAATTACAGTAGAGTAGTAGACTCTATTACAGTAGACCCTATAATTGAATCACTAACTGAAATTATAGTATAGACTACAGAGTAGACATATTGATTATTTTCACTAACGGAATCACTAACTGAAATTACAGTACAGAGTTTTGACCATTTATTCAAAGAAAATTCAATTTACAGTTGAGAAAGGAGTTTGTTAAACTTAGAGATTAAAAGTTTTGACTTCTTCCAGCAGAAAGATTTTCTTTGTCAATGCAAAAGGTTTAATGTTGTTCGGTGGACCATACCAAGTGATATTTACTTCCAAAATAGAATATTTGAAACTAGAATTTTGCAACTAAACCGAGAACACTAAGATACTGATTACAGATTCATTCATTTTGTTTGACCTGCCATTAAAATCTGTGAGCTTTGGCAAACCTGTTCCTTTGTTTTTTTTTTTAGATATATCCATCTGTTCACTTTCTCACTTCAAATATGCGTTGAATTTAATAGATAAACAACAGAGGAGAAGAACTATAGATTGGAGAACAAAAGGGCCACAAAGGAGAAGATCTTGCCTACTGATGCCGCTGGACTTAGATTGTTGTCACTTGGAGAAGCCATTTTTGGTCGCTTGCTACTCGCAGTAACTGCAGGAAATCAGGAGAAAAGCTTGCCCCCCGCCGCCGTCGCGCTGGAGCCACTGTAGCGCAGCAGCCGCCGTCGCGCAACAGCAGCGCTCCTTTGCCTGTCTCCGCTGTCGCGCACC